GGCCCCCCGAGATCATCAGGCATTTAAAAGGCAACGTCCGTGGCATGAAACATGCCGATGCAGTCCAGATCTATGATGCCGTGCAGCAGTGGGAGGGGATCGCCCAGCAGGCCGATGCCGTCGTGATCCCCCACCATGTGGACCCGGCATTGCCCGGGATTGCCCACATACCCCGATGGCATGTTATGCCAGCGCGATTACCCCCGATGTCAATATATTGGCCGCAGTGTCCACAGCATGCGGGCCCATTGGCGGAGTGTCCATGGATGGTCCCGGTTTCCCCGAGGCGGCCGCATTCGCCGGGAGCAACGCATCCAGCAAGAGGCCAAGTTACGGCGGTGTATATCATTGTCACATGCCAGCAGATATTTCCAACGCGGACCGGATCGCATTTCATCCACGTGCGGGCGGCAAGGGCCGAGGAGCCATCGATTCCCATGGACGCGGCAGATATTGATGCGGCGGTGGGTGAGGTCATGACCGCGTGGGAAGAGGCCGAGGCGGAGAAAGCCCAGCAGACGGTCCAAGCCGTGGAAGTCACCGATGCCAATCCATGGTTGCGGGTGACCGGATGGACCGAGTATTTACAGGACATTGCCCCCCAGGTCATATTGAACAGCGTGGACCCGCCCGACAAGGAGTCCATGGAACCCGTCGAGCAGGGAATCCGCCGGTTGTGGGACACGATGGAGCAGGTGGTGCGCAAGAGCCAGCGGACGGTAGACCACAGTGGCCAGGCCATTTGCATCGAGGCGGTGCGGTCCGAGACGGGGCAGACCCCGTATCGGCCATTGCAGGTGTACATGGATGCAGAGAGCATTGTCAAGCACGTCCAGCCGTGGCAGCAGATCGTGGCATTTATCGCCCGCACGCAGGCCACACATACATGGAAGAGTCCATCGTACAGCATGACGCCCCGGCAGCGGAAGAAGTGGCGGCAGTTGTGGCAGTTGGCCATCCAAGCTGATCCCGAGCTGATGGAATCCCGCCATCCCGAGGAGGTCCCGTGGGAAATGAGTCGGATCGAGGGTGTATGTTTGGATTTTTGCATCCAGTTGTTGAACCAGCGGCCGCGCAGCCATGAGTATGAGAGCGTGTTGGTATGCGCCATGGCGGTATTGGGCCGGGGACACCCGAGACGTATCCCCCCGTGTTGTCCCGAGTGTCCAAGGTTGACCGCATGATGATTGTGCGAAAGGCATTGTGGTTGGATCCGCACCCCGAGAGATCATCGCCATGTGGCGCAAGGAGGGCCGTTGTGCAGATTGGGTATTGGACAGTGCCGATGATACATTGGCTGAGATTTGTTCCGATGAAGGGTACAGCAGCAGCAAGGGGTCCCGGTCAATTCCCCGTCATCCCCGCCCACATCGCCGATGGCCCACAGTGATCCACCACCGATCACAGATATCCCCCGTGAGGCCCCATCCCGTCCAAAGACATTTCAGGAACAGGTGCAGTGGATGGTGCAGCGGTTCATGGTCCGCGGGACCCATGGCCCCATGCAGACGTTACAGGATTGGCGGTTGTTTGGGTTGCGGATCCATTATAACACACACATCCCCCGGCCATGTGATGAGGATGCACCGGGACCGGTTGTTGTACCAGTACGTCCAGTTCACGATGGGCAATTTCCGCCGCATGGTGCATGGGTTGGTGGGGGCCACGCGGGAGATTTTATGCGAGTTGTTGTGTGTGAAGCACCGGGAGGCCGTGCCCGCCATCCTGTGGCAGGGCGGTCATACATGATCCAGCGGGTGCGGACCGAGCCGTCCGTGGTGCAGTTCACGGTCCGCCGCCAGCCCCGGCGATTGCACGCACCCGCGGTGATGCGATATTTGCACCGGGTCGCGCGATTCAAGGAGAAGTTGGCCGCATTGGTCCATGTGGTGGCTGGGCCCCCGAGTTGTTGAGCATCCAGCATAGCGACTCGGACCAACCGACGGCGGAATGTATATATTGAAGACAGGATGGTCATGTTGTTCACCGCGTACCACAAGGGGTTTTACGCCAACAATGATGTGAAGACCATCCACCGATACGTGCCGCAGGAGGTGGGGGAGTTGATTGTGTGGTATTTGTGGTTGGTATTGCCGTTTGTCCAGCAGTTAGAGGCCGTCGAGCGCGTTCGCCAGCAACATGCAGGAGGAGCGGGAATTAGCGGCGGCGGTATTGAACGCGGACGCGGAGAGGATGGCATGGACGAGGAGCAGTGGATAAGCCACATTGCCGATTTGCAGGCAGCGCATTCGTCGCATTTGGCGGGGATGGTGTACGCGCGCGGCATCACGGAGCAGGCCGACACCACCAAGCGCCGCTGGGCCATATTTCGATTGTCCAGCACGGATTGGCACCGGTTTTGGGGGTTTGCAGCCGCCGCGGCGTTGGGGCCCGGGATCGGCAAGCGCAAGCGATCCCCGTGGAGGATGAGGCGGAGGAGGACCGCACCATGCGGCGGCACCGGTTGAACGTCATGGACATGCGCACCACGTTGCAGCGGATGACCGGGACCGAGACGATCCAGTTCCGCGGCGTGCAGGTGCCGGCGTTGCGGGCGATCGAAGATGGGGAGAGCCGTGGGTGGCGGTGATGCCCATGAGGGGGGCAAGAGTATGTTGTTCATGTTTCCGGCATTCACGGAACCCGGGGGCACGATGATCGTGTTGGTCACGCCCGAGTCCGCCGTGGTCGAGGATTTGCAGACATTCATCAACCGATTGCAGCAGACCCGGTGATTGGACCGGATCGTGATCAATGAGTGCCACATGATATTGAATGACCAGAAGGATTTCCGGCCCGAGTTGCGGCAGTTGGGCCGGTTGAACCATGCCCGCACGCAGATAGTGTTGTTGACCGCCACATTGCCCCCCCCCCC